ACTAGGATTAAAGAAATATTTTGAGCACAAGTTATATGTTTTGTTCTACGACGATTTTACCGGAAAAAACCCGAATAACCCGAAAACCCGAGATTGAAAAATCCAAATTTTATTGGTTTGGTTTGGTCTTTAGATTTAATGACTCGACACAATTGGTTTGATTTGATAATTGTAAAATTTGAACCAACCCGACCTATGTACACCCTACACACACATATACCAAAAAAAGATAGTGTTCCCATTTTTTCATACTTGTTATTTATAGTATAACATGCTTAAATGATAAAACATTTCACTTCACATAGTAGTATTATCATTTATATTGGTAAAAGGTAACAAAGTAAATTGGATGTAAGACATGTATTTTCATTATGTTACCTTTGATTTTATTGTAAAAAGTATATTTACTAATATGAAGATCTAAATAATTTAATTCAATGTTCTATAATATTTTTAGTGTTAAAGAGTAGATAGTCTTTCTTTCTTTCTTCTTTCTTTTGTCCAAGGTTTATTGTATTTTTTTTTTGCAAACTTTAATATTGTCTAACTTGAAATAAAATCATAAAATCTATTATGAAAGAATTTTGGGGACTTAAATTAAAGCTTTACTAGTCTCCTAATCTAGCCACATGTCCATCGCCCTACTATTCTCAATCAAATTTTATAGAGTCTCAATTAAGATAAGACAACAATAAGTGAATGTGTATTTAGTTACCAAATGTAAATGAAACAGTTGAATAACACGTTCATGGACAATGGTCTATAAATAATTGTTGATCATTAATGAGGGCGGCTCAACGAAACTGGTGGCTTAAAACTAAAATATATTAAAAGACCCTAAAATTTCTTTCATAATATTCATATAATATTGAGACAAAAGAGTAGTGAGAGAACAACGTATAATATGCGGGTTAGCCGTAAGTCATATGGTATTGAACTCCCTATAAAAAAATATAGCATTAAATGAAAATGGTAAAAGGAATGAGCCTATTATCGATCTGTTTTGAACCTTATGATACTTGTCTCTGGATTTCTTAGTTAAAAAAAAAAAATAAGACACAAAAGAACTTGATTACTGATATGAAGATCTATCAAATGCGACAAAAAAGAATAACTAATTTAAAGAATTTGATTTGAAATTAGAAAGTAAAATAGTAAAAAATATAAAAAAGAAAGAAAGAAAAATAAAATTGATGAGAAGATAAATATATCATTTAATTTAGTGAGAGAAAAGTTTTATCTTATTAACTCATTCAATCATACACCAATCAAATTTAAATAAATATTAAAATTTAAAAGATTATCAATAATTATATAAATATAAATTATATATATTGTTATGAACAATAAAAGAAGAAGAAGAGTATTGCAGAGAAAAGTAGATGGAGAGGATTCTTATTGATTTGGGATGAATTACAATAGAATAGAACTCTCTATTTATAGGGAGAGGGTGACTTAGCCACCAAGCAATAAACCCTAGAATCTCTCTAAATATAGACATTCACCATAAATACAATTCTATTTATAACACTCCCCCTGAATGTCTATTCAACAAATAATGTGCCTCGTTAAAACCTTAACTAAAAGAAAACCCAATGGGAAAAAAATTTTAGAAAAGGAAAAAGAGTACACATGTTTAGAAATGCGCCTATTGGTTGCCTCATTAAAAACCTTGTAAGGAAAACCCAGTGGGACAAAACCTTGTAAGAGAAAAAGAGTGCAACGCGCATTAACTCCCCCTGATGAGAGCGTCAATTCACATCCTTGAGCCTTCGCATCCCAAACTTGTGCACCATCTTCAAAAGATCTTTGGTAGATATTTGATAAACAAATCAGCCATATTAACTTGAATGAATATATTGCACCTTGAAATCATCATTCTTGATAGAGATATAATGTCTTCATAAATATCGTAGAATGGCTCTTCAATATCTCCATAGAGATATCCTCGCTATCACATTATCATGCTTATAGTTATAGCAAGATACATTTGTGCATAAATTGCATTGAGGATGTAGTACTTCATGACCATGAATTCTATATGCTTTAAGCAATTTAAATCCTTCAGGGATTTTTAAGTCATATAAGCCATATTATAAATAGAACTTTAGTATGTCATACCAAGTNTAAGATATCGAAAACTAATTGCACATATCATTGGCTTCATACTTTCAAGTGTTTGAACTGAAGGTCCAAAACTATATGTCTTTCGTATGAAACAAATTCTATTCGAATTGTGTCTCTTCCATTTGGCCAATATTTTTGTGTCTATATTCGACAGACTTAAGATCCTCGTCTATACTTAGCGCTATTATAGATGTCGTCGACAAACATTTTATATCGGTTCCAACCTCCTTATTTTTCATAAAGACATGACATAGAGATCTCTTCTTTCATATTTTCAGGTACCTGAATCTCTCCTGAGATTTTATGAAGTGTTATGTCATGTGATCTTCTAGATCACTTGCCTCCTTTATTATGATCATTTGCTCATCTTCTTTATCAAGAAGTTTATTTGAAACCGATTGTCTATACGCTTTAAGCGTACTATAGACTTTGTCCTTCTAGGACTTAATAGGAGCATTTGCAATGAGAATATAGTTACTTTCTTTGGGTCAGCAAATGCGTCTGGCATGCTTTGCAATAAATCGCACATGAATTATCCTTTTATGAACTTCAAGTTCATATTATTTTATTCG